CCTGGGACTGACTCTAGACTCTTGATTCAAAATGTCTTACATAAAGCTTAACATTTTTAACAAGGTCACTGGGTGATTGCACAGGGAAAAGGCTGACCCAGAAATGCCTGGGTCAGGATGCAGTTCATTTAAATCATAAAATTGAGATAAGAAAAACAAAAATATGTTAAAACTAGGGGCTTCCCAAACTCGTGTTAAGGGAAATCTCTCTGAGAGTTAAAAGAGGTGAATGGAGCACAAAGTCTTTTGCACAAAAACATTTGGTTAAATTGTTCTTTCCTGCGTTATTTGGCCAGAATTTCTATCTTTTTAATATGCTAATGTTTGTGTTGAATTGCCAACTGGGAGATTTAGCAATGTGGGTAATGCTCGGTTTCCCAAGTTCACTTAATCAGGGAACTTTTCTCCATTCTGAGTATCAGACTTCTATTGCAAGGGAAAGCCATCTCAAGCCATAAGAAACCCTAAACTATAGATAATTTTCTTCCTTCCATCCCTCCTCCCTCCATCCCTTCCTTCCTTTGATCTTTCCAAGTGTGCACTCACCAGAGAGAGAGCATGGTCAATCCCTCCCAACCCCCCCCCCGCCCTTTATCCTGTTGGTATTTCTCCCTCCTTTTTGGATTTTGGGCACACACACACACACACACACACACACACACACTTGGTATGTTTTTCTTTTTTTTTGGAGAGGTTTTTTTGCTATAGGGCACGTGCGCTTGCCAGACAGACAGAGAGAGACATAGAGACAGAAAGCGAGAAATCACCCCCAGAGGGGATGGCCACGCCGCAATCCCTTCTTCTCCATTCTCCTCTCGGGATCTTGGGCACGCACGCACACACGCCCGGTGTGAGTTTTAAGCCACCGGGTCCGGGACGCAAACCGCGGTCGACTACGTGGGAGTCCAACGACGTAGCCATTACATTAACTGCTGGTTCCCATACACAGTATGTTTTTCAAGCTGATGGGGCCAGGATTCAGTCATCAGTCATATGGCATCTAGCTCCTTTAACCACCACACTACGAGGCCAGCTCTAGAGTTTATTTTCATAATATACTTGAACTTGAGAGAAGACTAAGCTCATGGAAAGTCTTGGCATTTGGGTAAAAGAATGACAGTTCCTTTCACTTACTGACAGGGATGGATGGAAAGACAACATCCTGAGAATAGTGATCATTTCATAAGGTTACATTTAACTCAGAAGAATATAACTGATTTTTTTTTTTTTTAAGTACACTCAAAAGTACTGTGGTTTAAGGAAAGGGTTGGCGTGGGGAAGACCAAAATCTTACTTTCCTCCTACCCCCGTTGCTTTGTTATTCCAAATTCTGGCCCTCTGAAGAATATGATCCAGAGAGCACACTGTCAAAACCAGGAAGCTTGCCTTCCATGTTAACGTGAAAGCTGTAATTTGAACTTTGTACAAAAAATTACATGGAAAGGCAACAAGCTTGGCATGAAGGCAATTTGATTAAAGGGCATGACTTATAAATCCTAATGCTTATGGTGGTCTGAATTGGAGGCCTTTTGAAAACCAAGAGGTAAGCAGGGTTAATGAAGAGATTTAGAAGAGGAGAGAAAATACAGGCTTTAGGAATGTCAGCAGAGTAAAAAGAATCCAGAAGATGTCTATATAGGTGAACCTGAAAGAATGCCAAATAGTATTCTAGAATAGTTCTCTGCAGATATCTTGAAGCTGCAAATACCACCGTCCCCAAAACATTACCACTGGCTAGAAAACATAATTGTACATAGACTGGCTGATCGGTGAGAGGTTACTTGGTCGGGAAGTGGACGTTGCTGGAAAAGCCAAGGATTTAAGATTGTATCCTGTGAAGGTAAAGGTCTCCTCTTGACTCTCCCTGTTAACTCAAGAGTTCGTGCCAAACACGAGACAAAGGTCCTGTGGGGAAGAGCAGTGCTTTTCCAGCTCTCATTTTCATCTGTCTGCACAGCACATTGTTAGTCTGAGACTGTCACTTACATTAGCTTACAAACGTATATCTTTGGTACCATTCCCCCTGAACAAAACCTAGGTCAATGATTTTGTAAAAGCATAAATTCATCTTATCCCAAATTCACAGTCCAGTAGAAGTTCTCTCAGGCCAGCAGTGGGTATGGGGGTTAAGACAGATGAATCCCACATGTTGACTTCATGGCTTGAGTCTGGGATCTGGCAGCTTGAAAAACACACCGAGTGTATATGTGTACATGTCTACAATCCCAAGAAGAGAGTGGAGAAGGGATCGCAGCATGGCTGTCCCCCTGGAAGATGATTTATCACCCCCTCCACTTTTCTGTCTCTCGCTGGTGAATTCATGAGCCCTATAGCAAACACACACACACACACACACACACACACACACACACACACCAAAATAAAAACTCTTATTATTTTAAAAAGGAGCTTGGGAATGGAATTATAAAGTATATTGTATGGTTCACACAAGAACAGGCCAGCCCAGTGCAGGCCCAAGACCGACACAGGAAGTAACACGTACCTGTCCACAATGATGCCATGAGGTATGAGGACATATTCCAAATCTCCATAATAGTGCTGTGGGTACGTGAACAAGTTCAAGTCATATCCTGGCCAATCATCCATAATCTGTAAATCAAATTATTTTGGTTAAGGTATTTGTCACTGGAAATAAATTGTATGTATGTATGTATGTATGTATGTATTTATAAGAGAGACTTTTGTTATAGGGCATGTGCGCTTGCCAGAGAGAAAGGTAAAGACAGAGAGACAGGTAAAGACAGAGAGACAGAAAGCTAGAAATCGCCCCCTTAGGAAGGATGGCCACACTGCAATCCCTCTCCTCTATTCTCCTCTCAGGATTTTGGGCATGCACAAACATGCACCTGGCGTGAATTTTAAGCCACCGGTCCAGGACTTGAACCATGGTCGACTACATGGGAGTCTAGCAACATAACAATTATGCTATCTGCTGGTCCTGGAAATTTTGCTTTTAAAACACCAATAAATAATAACAAAAGAGTCAAAAAATAGAATGATACTAACTACAGAAAAGAGGCTTAAAAATCTCAGTATTACCTTCAATTATATTCTGTTAACCTATAAACGCTTCAAAGGGGCAAAGTTATTTATTTACCACAACTTAACAAAAGACTTAGTACTAAGGTGAACAAAGCACTCCATTACAAACTGTTGACATTGTACAATAAAAATCTAAACTTGGGGCCCGCAGGTGGTGTGGTGGTAAACTGATATTTTTTAGGAGCGTATACATGAAAAGATTTCTGAGAAAATACATAATTAAAATACAAGTTTATCTTGGTATAAAAGTCTTTGAATTCCATGCATAGCTTTTTTTAAATAATTATTTTATTTTAACTTTTTAATTTTATTTTTAATTTGACCCAGAGAGGTAGAGAGAGAGAGAGAAAGTGAGACAGCAAGCCGCCAGATTCAGGACTCAAACCATGGTTGGCCATGTGGGAGTCCAGCGCCCTTAACCACCATGTCACCTGCTGGCCCTCCATGCATAACTTTTTCTATAATATGCTTTTTCCATGACTTTTGGAATACCCTCAGATGTGTAAACATATAATTTATATGTAAATTATACAAATCTCCATGAATATATAGTAACATTTGTGATTATATAATATATACATTATCATTATTACAATAACATATCATTAAATATACTATTACATTTCTATATATTATAAATGCCTCATCTTCCCAGGAAAGATTACTTAGAATATCTATTAGAATACAGCAAACTTTGAGTGGTTCAGTCCTTATAGTAAAGATTTTCAAAGGATGTGCTATGGTGGGAACTTAAGCCAGTCCTATTAGAAACCAATGGTCTAGAAAATTGGCCCATTCATACAGCAGATAGATTGATAGCAAGTCTTCCTCTTGCTTAGGACTCAATGTGCAAGTTTCATGGTTAGAATAGTAAAGAGGTGGGGAAGCAAATGAAAGTGAAGGAGGAGTTACTTTTACTTTCAGACCATCGAGAAAAGATTCAACAATGAAAGTGTTACACACTCAGGCCTACAGCATCTGTGTGCCAGTTTCCTTCCATTAATCACTCCTGCACACTTTCGTGAGGATCCTCATTTCAGCTTTGAACTTCAAGGCACTTCATAGTACAGACCCATGCAAATCTTCCAATCCAGCTCCTTACACGATTTCTCCCTGTCCTCAGACTGGTCAAGTCAAGATGGTTCCAGCTCTGGGTTTCCTTCTACCTTTCGTGTACGCCCGACTCCTCCCTTCCCCCTCTATCCCCTCTACCTCTGGATTCCATTCTCAGCTCCTTCTGTGAAGACTCAGATCAGGTCTCACTTCTTCCTAGAGGCCTTGCGGATAGCTCCCACTCTTATCTTCTTTCTCAGATTTCTGATACTCCTTGTAACTCTGTTCTACTGAAATCTGCCATGCAGCCTCCTTGAGAAGACTCTTGTCCCTCTGTATTCTTGCTCACTCCCATCTGATGGCAGTTGTTTTAGAACCATTTATGTTCCACTTAATGCTGGGAAGTTCCCTGGTTTTTGATCCTCCTCCTCACGTAGGACTGAAACCAGTCTCTTTGCTCAGGCTTAGAAGGAGAGTTTATATAGCCCAGGTCTCACCCTTCCCATCCCAGGTCTGACTTCTGGAATACCAGCTAAACCAAAACAAACTTCTCTCCATTTACACCTTCCCTGGCTCAGTAAAGGGCAACTCATTCTTCCAGTTGCTCAGACCAGAGCTTGAGCTGCCACTGACCCCTTTTGTTCCCTTCCCTCCTGCAATCCACTAGCTAGTTCCATCTTCATTTCCTTCCACGTGTAACCAGGACCACCTCTCAGCAGCTCCGTTGTAGTCTCCCCAGCCTGCCTCATCCATGATACCAGCATTCCCTAAAATATGGCAGTAGCTATTCAACTTGACTGTTTCCACTTTGCAGCCCCTCCACATGACAACTGGGGTGCTCCTTTACAAATGTGCATCATACCATAACAGCCTTCTGCTCACAGTTTTTCAACAGCTTCTCACTTCATTCTGAATAAAATCCAGGGTCCACCTTTCTGACTGTCCACAGGCACCTTCTCCCTCCCTCACTCTGCTTCAGCAACTGTTCTCACTGAGCCAGGAAGCTGCCTTGTGAGCTGTGCCCCTGGAACTCCTTTCGCTTACAGCCACTTTCCCCAGACACCCACAAGGCTTGCCCTTTACTTATTACAAGTCTTCATCCCATGTCACCTTCCCGGAGACCTTCTCCGAACACATGTGTAAAATAGCATCCCTTCCCGCCCATCTCTGTGTCTTTCTTGTTCACCTTTACTTTTCTTCACAGCATGTATTACCATTATAATGTAATTACCAAGATGGTAATCCGTGCTTGGACGCCCTAGTGTGTGTGTGTGTGTGTGTGTGTGTGTGTCTGTGTCTGTGTGTGTATGCACACGCACGTGCACATGCATTCTGTCTTGTCTCCTCCCACTGGAATGTTAGCTCCTTCTGGCACAGACTTGATCTTATTCACTGTTGAATTCTCAGTGCTTAGAATGCTGACTTGGTTACAGTCAGTGCTCAAAAAAGTTAAATGAATGAGGAAATAAATGACAAAGCCTCCATCCAGGGGTTACCTGAACCCCAGCCTCAACCTCAGTTAATCTCCTTATGATAAAGAGCACCTCTGTTGAAGAATTTGGAGATTAATATCAATCATATCCATTGGTAGCTTGATGGTTAGATGGTGCATGTCATCTCCATATTTGAAAAGTATCCCCTTGGGCTGGAAGGTGCCATGGTGGTTATGGTGCTGGACTCCCACATGGCTGACCATGGTTCAAGTTCTGGACCTAGTGGCTTGCTTTCTCACTTTTCTTTTCTCTCTCTTTGGTTAAATTAGTAATAATAATAATTAATAAATGAAATAATTCTTAAAAAAATAAGTATCGCATTTGCTTTCATTTTACCAGCAAATCAGCTAGTTGGATTGCCGAATTTGCAGAGGACCTCTGGCTCCCAATTAAGAACTCCTTGGGGCTGCTTTAATCTCCAAACCCACACTGGCTAGTCAGACACTGGAGGACCAGGCTCTAGGAGAGTCTCTGGCAGGCCGTGGTAAAGACCATCCGAGAAGAACCACGAGTAGCACAAGGCCCCAGGACGATCATCAAGTAAATGACACTTTCCAGCTCCGCTTTCGGATCACACACACTACTCGCTCCTCTTCTTAGAGCCCTTCCATGGGCGTTCCCATTAACTCGTGGTCTTCTGAGCTCAGTCCTCCCGCCATGTAAATCCTTTTCTGCCCCTGCTCTGTTCGAATCTCAGAAGCTAGTCTCTGCGCCGTGCTCCAGAGTTCGACTCTATGACACTGATGAGCTGTGAAGCTACGGAAATTACTTTCCATATCTGACACTCAGCGTCTTCCTGCTTTAAATAAAATATAGTAAAATACATAGACAGAGTTGTTGGGAGAATGAGAAGAGACAGAAGAGATAATGCACTTGGAATACACAGTATATTGCCAGGTATTAGTAAGTGCCTCATAAATTATGTCGGGAAAAGAAAGAAAAGAATAAAAATGCTAAAAGTGAATCCCCCCCCCAAAAAAAATAAAGGTGATAATGGGGCTGGACTGTGGTAAAACACAACTCTCTGCAAGGTTGACCCACACGGGAGGGGTTGGGGTTCACTTCCAGAGATCTCCCTGAGTACCTTGGGCACATGTATGCCCATGACCCAAGACTAGCTGAAGCTGGGAGTGGACAGTGGAGTCAAGACCTTGTTGGCATTGCTACTTTTCTCTCTTGCTCATGGAAGAAATAAGAGAAAAAAAATGTAAAAAGAGAAAGATGATATGAAAGTTAAAAATAAAACAACCCTATAAATAAAAACCGTCATGGTAATCCATTATTTGGAGGCACATGGAATGAGAAGTTCCACACACCATGGGCAGGACTGCTAGCCATGGACCTTAAGCATGTCAACTTCTCTGAGTCACAATGTACTCATTCATAAAGTGGAGTCAATGCCTGTCTCATACGGTGATAGTGAGGCTTAAATAAGATAGGTAATGTCTATAAGACTTAATAAGGGGACTAGCAGTTAGTGTAATGGCTATGTCGCTGGGCTCCCGTGTAGTCGACCACGGTTTGTAACCCGGACCCGGTGGCTTAAACTCACACGAGGCGCATGTGCGTGTGAGCCCAAGATCCCAAGAGGAGAATGGAGGAGAATGGAGGAGAAGGGATTGCGGCATGGCCATCCCCCCTGGGGGGTGATTTCTCACATTCTGTCTCTCTCTGTCTTTTTTTTTTTTTTGAGAGGTTTTTGCTATAGGGCGCATGCCCTCGCCAGGCAGACAGAGAGAGACAGAGAGACAGAAAGCGAGAAATCACCCCCCAGGGAGGATGGGCGCGCCGCAATCCCTTCTCCTCCATTCTCCTCTCGGGATCTTGGGCACGCACACACACACGCCCGGCGTGAGTTTTAAGTCAATGGGTCCAGGATGTGAACCGCGGTCGACTACGTGGGTGTCCAGCGACATAGCCATTACCCTAACTGCTGGTTCCCTCTGTCTCTCTCTGTCTTTCTGGCAAGCGCACATGCCCAATAGCAGAAAACCTCTCTCA